TGAAGGTTGTGTTCCAATATTGACTGGTATTTGGAACTGTTCATTATTCCCTCTACCTTGACTAAGGCCCCAGTTCCAGCTGAAGAAAAAGAGCCCCAAAGCATGATGCTGCCACCACCATGCCTCACTGTGGGTATGGTGTTGTTTTGGTGATCTGCAGTGCAGGGGCAAACTGACCATTTGTAAAGTCGGGCACTGCCCGAGGGCCCGGGGTCAGTAGGGGAGCCCATGAGATGCCCCTGGTACCTTTTTCATAGGTTTTTTTTTTTTTTTTTTGAGTTTGGGCAAGGACACAGGGGCCCATGATCCCCTATTGCCCCATGAGTTGTCAGTCCACCCCTGGTGCAGTGTTGTTTTTGTGCCAAACATATCTTTTGGAATTGTGGCCAAAAAAGTTCAACCTTGGTTTCATCAGACCATAACACATTTTCCCACATGCTTTTGGGAGACTTCAGATGCATTTTTGCAAATTTTAGCCAGGCTTGGATGTTTTTCTTTATAAGAAAAGGCTTCCGTCTTGCCACTCTACCCCATAGCCCAGACATATGAAGAATACGGAAGATTGTTGTCATATGTACCCACACAGCCAGTACTTGCCATATATTCCTGCAGCTCCTTTAATGATGCTGTAGGCCTATTGGCAGCCACCCGGACCAGTTTTCTTCTTGTCTTTTCATAAATTTTTGAGGGGCGTCCAGTTCTTGGTACTGTTGCGCCATATTTTCTCCACTTGATGATGACTGTCTTCACTGTGTTCCATGGTATATCTAATGCCTTGGAAATTCTTTTGTACCCTTTGGAAGCTCTCTGTGGACCATAGCTTTTGCTATAGGATGCGACTAAGAAAATGTCAGGAAAGACCTACTAGAACAGCTGAACTTTATTTGGGGTTAATCAGAGGCACTTTAAATGATGGCAGGTGCGTACAGACTCCTATTTAACATGATTTTGAATGTGATTGCTTAGTTTAACTAGAACACAGCTACATCCCCAGTTATAAGAGGGTGTGCACACTTATGCAACTACATTATTTTAGTTTTTTATGTTTACTTCCCCCCCTAAAAGATTTCTGTTTTTCAATTGAGTTTATAGGTCACATTAAAGGTGGAAAAGTTCTGAAATTATTTATCCACCATCAATGCAAAGTGCTCTTTCACAGCAGTCCTGCTTCTTCAGCCTACAGGCTTGAGCCCTCTGTCAGACTACACTGTACCAACAGGCATGCTTGTGGCTTCTCCCTTGCATCCACATGGACTCCTCGGGAGGGTGAAGACCAGAACCCTGGTCCTGACTCTAGAAGAGACCCACACACACCTCCTGGCCATTCCCAAAACTTGGTCCCAGGATTGTAGATTTCCTCCCACCCAGATCACTGTAAAATCTCCAGGCTCCAGGTCCCAAACAGAGTTTTACCAAGAACCGAGGAAACTGAAAACAGTTTTCACCAATTTAAACAAGCACCCTGGAGTCCCTCAACCTGCCTCGTTGTGAATCCTGGGCGACATAATATTATTTTTACATCATGAGAGATCACCATACTGTCACAATATGTTTAGAAATGCATTGTCAGAACTCTTGTTGTTTTTCCCACATAAAAGGTTCCACAGTCACAAGACAGCAAGTATACAATTCTTTTAGTTTGACAGTTAGAAAAATGTTTCAGTGTAACTCTTTCTCCATTGGGGAGAGTCAATGTCTTTCTCTTGCCCGTCAGGGAACATTAAGAACAGCTTCCACATGGATAAGTACCTGTTAGCGAACAGTGATTTATCCTAGACTCATCTTTAAATTCACTCTAAACAAGTCTGTCCCTTAGGGAACCAGCTCATCTGAAAGTGATAGATAGACTTGGAGTAATGAACTGCTTTATCAAAGGGTCATCAGTAAGTATCGACCAGTGTCTATTCAAGGTATGTAATTTGAGCATGTTGATTAGAATAAGCAGAACAATTATAGTAGGTTCTAAGTTAGAGAGTTCTGCTGTTTTTTTTTTTAAACAAAAGATCTTGGAGTGAGTGCTAAACTGCCCTGTTGAAAGCCTTGCATAGGCCAGTTCTGCTATACTCCTTATCCATTAATCTTAATTGCAATTTTTTTGCTTCTTCCTTGAACATGACATCTTTGGAACAATGTCTTCATAGTCTAAGGTACTGGTTATCAGGTATAGAGTTTTGTAAAGGAACAAGATGGATGCTCGTTGCATGTAATATAGTGTTCCCAACTGTATTTTTACGAAACAGTGTGCTAAAAAGTTAAATTATCGCATGACTTTAACATTCAAAACTCCATTCATAGGACATAGTGAATGATAGATTATGACTGTTGTCATTCATTTTTTTAGGACATGGTAACAGCATCTCCTCAGATCCCTCTCAGATGAGAAAGACGTCATCGATATACCTATGCCACGTTGAAATATGGCATGTGTATATGGCGAGGCTCTCGTCTGAGAGGAATATGCGTTCCAACATTCCAACAAGGTACAGATTGGCAAATGATGGGGTACAACATGTCCCCATCGCTACGTCCTGTACTTGGAGGTAGTGGGAACCATCAAACATAAAAAATTATGATTCAAAATGTATTCTAGACTGTTGAAGAGAAATTCATTAAAGGCCCAATCCTGGGTGTGTCTCTGATTTGCTACGTATAGTAGCAAATCCCAAATTATGAAGGATGGAGCTGTACAGAGCTTCCACATTATTTGTTACTAAAAAAGATTCGGGATGGTCAACTCCTCTATGAGGCAGACCTCTAAGGCAGAGGCATGTGAAATTCTTTGCATATTTTTACTGCGATCAGAAGGGTCCTCTCTGTATAGTAATGGGGACTTAATACACCAGAGCTCATATTTTAGGCACTTTTTTTAACTTTGTACAAATAAATATATGAATTTATTTTATTTATTATTGTACTTCCTGACTCATTTGTGCTGCCTAAAAGTCCAAGGGTGAAATTTCACTGTCTTTGTATGGTTTATTCAGGACGTGCAGCATATTTCTCTCTATGTGATCTCCTTTTCTAAACCAGGTAAGCTACTAGCTTGTGCATTGAAACAAAAACAGTCAGTTTCCTCTATTTCTAGATTAAAACTCTGAATGGTGCATTAGAATTCCTGGGTCGATTTATTTCATGGCTCTAATGTTTCACATAAAGACTAGTTTAATACCTTGCTTATTAAATGCAGCATAGAACAATGTGTCTTCACATTGGAAATCACAAATAGTGCTGCCTATTATATATTGGTTTAATAAGATAGATTATATACTGTTTCTAGAGGAATTAATACAGTGTAAGCATAAGCAACAAACTTCGAATTGCAATACATAGGACGCTTGAAGAACTACAAACTTCTACAGAATATTTGCAGGTTTGTAGCATTCAAAATGAAAGAACCTAGAAAATGAATGACCCGTGGATTAGTGGTATGAACTTAGTGTATAGTTGTAAACAGGGGCGGACTGACAACTCATGGGGCCCCCGGGCAATAGGGTATCATGGGGCCCCTGTGTCCTTGCCCAAACTCAAAAAAGCCTATGAAAAAGGTACCAGGCGAAATTGCATATTATTACTATACAGAATTTATATAGCACCAACAGTTTACGCAGCGCTTTACAACATAAGGGCAGACACTACAGTAACAATACAATTCATTACAGTAGAAATCAGAGGGCCCTGCCCATTAGAACTTACAATCTATGAGGGAGGATCAAGTGATACAAAAATTAATAACTGGGGGGGGGGGGGGGGGGTGAACTGGTGGAAGAAAATAAAAGTACAGTTGTTAAGTAGGGGCAGGATAGGCAGCTCTGAAGAGAAAGGTTTTCATGGATTGTGTAAAAGTGGACAGAGTTGGAGATAATTGGACAGATGGGGTAGGGAGTTTCATAGGATGGGAGAGATTCGCATGAAGTCCTGGAGGCGAACATGGGAGGTGGTGACAAGGGAACTAGAAAGCAGGAGGTCTCAGAAGGAACGAAGAGAACAATTGGGCTGGTATTTTGAGACTATGTTAGTGATGTTGCTGGGGTCCGAGTTGTGGATGGCTTCGTAAGTTGTTATTAGTATTTTGAATTTAGTTCGTTGGGTGAGCGGAAGCCACTGGAGTGATAGGCAGAGATGGGCAGCAGACACTTACGAGTTGGTAAGGTGGATGAGTCTGGCAGCAGTATTCATGATGGACTAGAGGGAGGATAGCCTACGTAATGGTAAGCCAATGAGGAGGGAGTTGTAGGAGTCGAGGTCAGAGATGACCAGGGAAAGATTTAGGAGTTTTCTGATGTCAGTGGTTAGGAAGAGGCTTATTTTGGAGATGTTGCAGAGATTTGGACATTGATTGGATGTGGAGGTGAAAGGATAGTTCAAAGTCCAGGATTACACCTTGGCATGTGGGCAGGGACATCTTTAACAAGGGGCAAAAGGAGAAGCTGCCCAGGGCCCAGTCATTGCTGTGGGGCCAAAGCAGCTGCCCCTTGAGCCTGCGCTGCCCATAAAAAGTCAGCTGTGGTTGGCTTTTGGCTTTGAAGCTGCTCATGCGCAGTTCCCAAATGCTACCTGGGTGGAGTCGGACTCGGGCTGTGGTGGCAGGGTGGGCCCAGGAAGATGTGTGCCTGGCTTCCTCTCATCATGTCCCAACCAACCACTGCCTGACCCGCTGTCATGTGACCTCCACATCCCCCTAACAGCTAATCACTCCACCTCTAACAACCAGAGCTGTGACCAGTGGGGTGCGGGATGGGGAGACCACTCCGCCCTGCCCTCCTCTGTATAGTCCATCTGGGAATCTGGGATCTGTCATCATTGTCAGTGCCACACAGAGAAGTAAACAACATGTGTGGTGTGGGGACACTTAGAACACCTGTTGTGCTGATCAGGAAGGACCAATTTTGAGTATTCACCAAAGTACAGGGATAGGAAATCAGACAGTACATGGGGTGGTGGAGTCTCTGGCATCTACATTGTCTTGTGGTATGCTTGCAGTCTTTGACCCTCTCCTGTAATATGTCTGCAGTCTTTGACCCTCTCCTGTAGTATGTCTGCAGTCTCTGATCATCTCCTGTAGTATGTCTGCAGTCTCTGATACTCTCCTGTAGTATATCTGCAGTCTCTGACCCTCTCCTGTAGTATGTCTGCAGTCTCTGATACTCTCCTGTAGTATATCTACAGTCTCTGACCATCTCCTGTAGTATGGAGTGCAGGCAGTGAGTAAATGATGTACAGTAACCTCTAGCAACCAGTGAGCAGTAATGATGTGCTGTAACCTCCAGCAACCTATCAGCGAGTGTGGACCAATTCTTTATCTTTACATTATTAAAGTGATACTAAAGTCTTTTACTTACCTGCTCTGTGCAGTGATTTTGCACAGAGCAGCCTGGATCCTCCTTTTTTTTTGGGTTCCTCGCCTGAGTTCCTGGCCCCTCCCTCCTGACAGTTGCCCCCAAAGCAAGCAGCTTGCTATGGGGGCATCCGAGGAGGTGCACTCTTGAGCTTCAACTCTTCATGCCCATTCACACACAGAACCACTGCTCGGTCCTGCTCCATCCCTCCCCTGATTGGATTGCAGGCTGTGATTAACAGCATGGGGAGCCAATGACTCCCGCTGCTGCCTCAGCCAATCAGGAGTGAGAGTCCCTGGAGAACCGAGGCTCTTGTGGACCGTTGCTGGATCAAGAAGGGGCTTAGATAAGTGTCTAAGGGGGCTGCTACACACAGAAGGTTTTTTACCTTCATGCATAGAATGTATAAAAGTAAAAAACCTTGAACCTTTAGAACCACTTTAAAGTTGTTTTTAGATAAGTCTTTGTGTGGTGGAGAGTGAAATTGCATGGGGCGAAGGGGGGTCCAATCAATATTAAAGACAGCCCTGCATATGGGGATGGGATTACCATTGAGCTATTGATCTTGGGAGGGGGCACATGGGGGAGGAAATATTATGAGATTGGTTCTGGATAGAATGATTCTGAGGAAGTGGTGTGACATCCAATCTAATATGTCTGTTAGTAAACCAGTTATGTGTGTGGAGACTGATGAAGTGAGCTGAGGGGTAGAGTGATAGATTTGGATGTCATCAACATAGAAATTGTATTGAAAGCCGTGGGAGGCTATTAACATGACTGAGGGAGGAAGTGTAGATCGAGAATAGAAGAGGTTCAAGAACAGAACCTTGGGGGACACCAACAGAGAAAGGAAGAGGAGAAGAAAAGGTAGAATTGTAAGTGACGCTGAACTAAATGAATATTGGTGGGGTCCAGTTAGGGATTTTTAAGTATGGGGTGACTAGTGCATGTTTTAGAGAGTTGGCGAAGATCTCTTGAGCACTGAGTGAGTTAGTGGGTAGAGGCAGTGGAGAATGAAGTAGAGAGTCGAAGATAGAGAAGAATTGACGGGGACTTCTGGTGTCATCTGTTTGCCAAGGTTGTAGGGGTATATCTGTACATTGAAGATATATTACTATTATTTATTGGTTATAACAATGTCTGGACTCAGAGGTCAAATCTTCCGATCTCCTTTTTTTCATATTTGGTTTCTTTGTCCTTTTTATTTTTTTATTTTGTTCTTTTTCTGCTTCTCCTGTGCAACTGCTATGCAGTAAATTACATTGTTAGGAACTGGGCTGCATCTTTTTTCTAATAAAAATTAACTGACATAAATAAAATGAATGCAATTTCTTCATGACTACAAATCGTCACTTACAAATATATTGTATTAACAGACTAATAATAATAATAATAATCATAATACACAGTTCCTAATTTTTCACCTCTTGGAAATTACTTCCATTGACATTTAGGAGGTTGTTTGCCATCTGCTGAATTTTTAGCTATGTGAAAAAAATGTCTATAAACCTGAAATTCAGAAATTTTGGCATCAGCACATTCAATCCTAGTTCACTGAAGAGATTTTGTAAGTACTTCTGAACTGCTCGAGTCCTCAGTAGTTAGTAAAAGGCAGCTTTGGTACCTGGGTGTCAAAAGCACAATCTAAATAGAACATTTTTAATGGTATCAGTTGCCACTGAAGCAGAGCATGATGGGATGGTTTCTATAGCAACCACTGTTTCAAGTGAAACTTCAGTAGTGAAATCAAAGCTTTATTGATGCTTAACATAGATCAAGAAATGCATGTCATAGTGGAGTTCAGCATGGAAAGATTTCTTCCTCCAGTGATTGTCAGTGAAATGATCAGTGAACACTGCTTGGATCATGAACAATCACAACATTAACTGGGTTTGGGATGAACAACAATTTAATGTCTGCAAAATAAAGTGTAACAGCAATAAAAATAAAAAATACATTATTTAACGACTTAAGCCCTGGAAGGTTTTCCCCCCTTCCTGACCAGGCCATTTTTTGCTATTCAGCACCACACTGGTAATTGCATAGTCATGCAACACTGTACCCAAACAAAAATTTATGTCCTTTTTTTTTTTTTTTTACACAAATAGAACTTTCTTTTGGTGGTATTTTATCACCACTGGGTTTTTAATTTTTTTCTGATAGAAATGAAAAAGAATGAAAAGTTTGACAAAAACCTAATATTTTCTACATTTGGTTATAAAAAAAATCCAATAAACTCAAAGTTAGTTATACATTTGGACCAAAATGTATTCTGCTACTGTTTGGTAAAAAAAAAAAATCCCAATATGTGTATATTAATTGGTTTGTATGAAAGTTATAGCATCTACGAACTATGGTATATATTTTGGAATTTACGCAGCTTTTATCGTCTGGCTGCCTATCACATTTCTTAAGGTTCTAAAATGCCAGGGCAGTACATAAATCACCCAAATTACCCCTTTTTGGAAAGATGACACCCCAAGGAAATTGCTTAGAGGCATGATGAGTCCATAGAAGATTCAATTTTTTGCCACAAATTTTGTGAAAATTACAATGATTTTTACACAAAGCTGTTACTTAAAAAAATATTTTGCTCGTGCATGGCATGGGTATATGTAGAATAAACACCCCAAAACACATTCTGCTACTTCTCCCGAGTATGGAGATACCACATGTGAAAGACTTTTTGTCTCTAGCCACATACAGGCCCCCAAAATCAGGCTTTCTAAGGGCATATTTCCTCATGTCACTTCCTCACTACCTATCACAGATTCAAAGGCCCTAAAAAGCCAGGATAGTACTAACACCCCCCACCCCCCCAAATTACCCCTTTGGAAAGTAGACACCCCAAGGAATTGATAAGAGGCATGGTGAGTATTTTTCAGATATAATTTGTTTGTCACAGAGTTTTGAAAAAAGAAAAAAAAGAAAAAGAAAAAATACATTTTCGTTTTCTTTCTTCATTTTCCAAAAAACTTGCGGCAACAAATGAGATCTGCTAAATACTCATAATGCTCCTTAGCAAATACCTTGGAGTGTCTACTTTCCAAAAAGGGGTCATTTGGGGGGGGGGGGGTGCTTCTGCTATCCGGACATTTCAAAGGCCAACATTACAAGCTTATGCCACACATCACCCACTCTTCTAACCACTTGAAGACCAAGCCTTTTCTGACACTTTTTGTTTACATGAAAAAACAGTTTTTTTGCTATAAAAATTACTTTAATTCCCCAAACATTATATATTTTTTTAAAGGAGAGTCCATAGAATGGTGGCTGTTGAAATTTTTTATGTCACAATTTTTTGGAAAAAATACACTTTTTAGAATTGTAATACACACAAATACAATATAGTGCCCATTTGTTTGATAAGGTATAAAAAATTATGTTATGCCGAGTAAATAGATACCAAACATGACATGCTTTAAAATTGTGCACATTATTCTTAGGTGATGCTTTAAAGCCTTTACAGGTTATCACTTTAGATTTACACAGGAGGTCCAGTGCTATAATTACTGCCCTTGATCTGAGGTTCACGGTGATACCTCAACATGCATGGTGCAATCTCTGTTTAAATACCGACACGGGACTGAAGCTTGCATTTTGCACGTGAGCACAGGGATGGGGGTGGGGTGAATTTTTTAAAAATTATTTATTTAGTTTTTTTTAATTATTACACTGTCCCTTTCATGCGATGGGAGGGGGGTGCCCCTTCCCACTGCTTGTAAAAGTGATCCAGGGACTAATTAGCTCCTAGAATTGCTTTTACATGAAAGCCGACTGCCAGCTGAATAAAATTATACCAAGATGATGCCTGTAGCTGCAGGCATCATCTTGATATAACGAGTCCAGTGATGTACCAATACGTTGCTGTTCCTTGTTGAGAATATATGTAACAGCAGAGAACATGAGCATAGGATGAATCGGGTCTGTGGACCGATATGACCGCAATACATTCTTTTTTGTAATGCCCATGTTGGGAGTTAGGCTCATAAAAGTTTTGATTCGGAAACAGTGATAGGTTTCCATGCACATTGTCTGGCAAGAGCTGAATTTGGGTAGGCAGTGATGTGCATATAAATTGCTTTGGCCCACAATCAATTGACAAATCTTCAGTGGAAAACAGCAGAAGGGCTAAACACTAGTGCTGGCAGGGCTGATCCTGCATTTTTGGGGACACTATACTAAGGAGGTACTAGTATAGTTCTATATATCTTAAACAGTGAAGCGCTAAATAAATAAATAAATAAATATATATATATTAGGTGCCGTCAGTGAATATAAGTGCTATAGTGTAATAATTCCTTGTAGATCACTGGAACATGCCAACCAATGGTGTATATAACTGGAAACAAAACTGAATACTTAATATATCAGTGAGAAATGCTAAATAGATATATAAATAAATATAAAACACACCAGTGATGAATAATCTAATACCTCCGATAAAAACTTCTTCTCATTCACAGAAGAATATAAATAATTAAAAAAGTGCTCATTAAGTGAACAAATGATCAAAAACTCAAAAAGTGAACAAGTGTATATAAAAAAACTTTTCTACGTGCATATACCAAAATTGTATATACATATAACATATATATAGATAAATAAAGTCCATGCAGGTGTAGCTTGTGTAAAAACGTGGTCTTCACTTCTAGTGCGCACACACACACAAATCCTCAAAATGGCAGCAGTGCCTGCTCACCTCCCCGCACTGACCCTCAAGGGGCCAAAAGGCTACTTAATCTCCTCTATGGCCAATCTTTCTCCTTCGGTAGCTCAGCAGGGGATCACAGGGTCTCCACTTCTCCTCCACTCATACGTCATATAGGACATAAAAACAGAGCTCCCATAGTGTAATATTGTTTATTATAGGCCACTTCTATTGTATATTGGTTGTACTCACAATTTTCTCCCTGGTTACACAGACTTTCCACCTCATCCCATAGGTGTATCACATGAATCACAGGGGAACACCAATATGGCCGCTCCGTTCGGACATGCGTCCCACGTGACCGGGAAGTGACG